CTGAATTTGGAGCCCAGCTTTCTTGGAGGACAGTGAAGAGATACTGGTAAATCACACCTCTTGCTAAAAAGTGTGGTGACATGAAAGCTGAGAATTTTGGGAATATATTCCTCTTTGTTGACTGCATGCTTCCCAAACAGGATGGGAAGTGTGTTCTGTTTTTGATGTAATTGTGTATGTCATTTTGTCTTTTTTAAATCTCAATTTGTAGGAAAAGGTATGAGAATTAAATGAGTTTATAATCATATGTCCTTAACATAAAGCACTTATGTTTTGATATATTTCATGACTGCAAACTTAATTATAACTAGACAGTCCATGATTCATTGGGTTATCCTTTAAGAGATATATCCTTGCCTCAACAGTTTCAGAATGCTAGAGGTAGGCAAAAATGTAGTGAGAACAGGAGCAACTTCCAACCGGCTTTCCCACTGACTTTGCTTCTGGGAAGCTAGCAGGGATTGTGGTCATGTGACCATGGCAATACTGTAACATGCATAACTTCTAGAGTACAAGTAGTGTGAAGATCCTTGAAATTTCAATTTCACAGGAGTAATGGGTCCTGGATTCTGTGCATGTTCTTTAAGTTAGCAGATTTAAGGTACTTGATTCATTTGAAGTATGTCAATCTTGCCTTGATTTTGATTGATACTTGATTTTTGCACTATGATGCATTGTTTGGGCTAACTGAAGATTACAAACAGATAAACAGACAGGAGAATGTTAGTAGTATATAGATAGATGTTTGTCAGGTAACTTACTTTCCAGAAGAATAAAAGAATGACAAGATTGAGTACAAGCCATCTATTCTCAGAAGTCCCTTTAAATTCAGCGAGATTTATTCTCAAATGTGTATGTATAAAAGTGCAGTCAAAAAGCTATAAAATCCTAAGTATTTTCTTGTACTGAGTGATTGACTACATGTAAAAAAATTGTAATATTCATAGTACAAATATCAAGCAGACATTTGATACAAACTGAAATGCTGCAATCTGAGCAGGATAGATTTCACTTTTCTCTGCTGAGATAGTAAGTAGAAGAAATAACACTTTTATTTTCTTGTTCTGGTTTCACACAGGAAATCAAATGCTCTGTTTAACACAGTAGACTCCCCAAACAGATTTGTAGTAAACAACACAGTTAGTTACAATTTGCTATAGGGAGTCAAAAACATGGTATCTTTTACGAAACACATCCACTAACTTAGAGAGCAGATATAAACAAGTTTACAGTTGCAAAATGTGTATTCTAAATTAGAGCTTTGCTTAAAATAAATAAACCTCAATGACTTATGGCAGTGAGATAAAACACCTAATTTTTTTTTTGGGGGGGGGGGGGGGGATAAGAATTTTTTTTTAAATGAAGCAAATTCCTAAACACCTGAGTCAGAATGTCTAAAAATGTTTTGCTTCATAGGATTTTGATTTAGTACAGTTATTGTCTATTCCTAGAGAACTTAGCATTTTTCATTTTTAGATGTAATTCACGAAAATATGTCTTGGAACAGAATTGTTCTTTACTCTCTTCCCTTTATTCTATTATCTTATCTGTGTTCATAGTAGAATTGTGGACATTTCAAAAATGCCTCAGAAGAAATGCTTCTGTCTTCGACCAAATACATCACCTTTTCTTAATAATTACTAAAGCTTATTTAATGCTATTAATTAAAGCAGCAGCAGCATTATTTTAATCTTCCCAATCAGAGCACACATCTAGACATTCCTTACATCAGATTTAAGAAAGTAGCTCTATCAGTTCACTTTTTTTATTAAAAAAAAGGTCTCTACACGTAGACCTTAGATTACAATAGCAATTGGGATAAGAATGTCCATTGCAGAGCGATGTGGTCATAAACCATAATGTCACATGAAAGCACAGCTTAGGAATGGCAATCACAGCTGTTATTGTAACCCCAAGACCGGTGGGATTCAAAAAAAATTATTACCAGTTCTGTGGGCATGGCTTGGTAGGCGTGGCTTGTTGGGCATGGTAGGGGAAGGATACTGTAAAATTCCCATTCCCTCCCCACTCCTGGGGGAAGGTTACTGCAAAATCCCATTCCCACCCCAACCCACTAACCTGCTTTCCAGCTCTGTTCTCCTGTGCAGGGCAACAAAAGAAGATCCAGCCGATGAGCTGGGGCTCGGGAGGCAGAGAATAGATGGGGATGGGGCCAGTCAGAGGGGGTATTTGCCGGTTCTCTGAACTACTCAAAATTTCCACTACTGGTTCTCCAGAACTGGTCAGAACCTGCTGAATACCACTTCTGCCCAAGACCATATGGGTTGTTAAGTTCTTGTGTATAGGGTGTAATATGGGATGAGGTAGAGTCCCAGGCAACTGGCAGAACTATGGGTAGATGGATATCACAGATGGGCACCACCGTGCATGGACATGTGGGCATGTGCTGGGTCCAGATACTAAGAAGCATAGGAGTGACTTGCAACTTCCTACCAACTTTCCCATTGACTGTTCTTATGGGAAGCCATCAGAAAGGGTCATAAATGGTCATTTTGAGACCACAAACAATCAAACCATCAAGTGGCCAAGTGCCTCAATCATGACAACATGACCATGGGAATGTTGAAATAACTGCAACTTCACAGACCAATTATCAGTTGTTCAGGGCCATCTGAACAGTCATATAACAAATGGTCGTAACCCAAGGACAACCTGTATTTTAGCAATCTCTGAGATAAACCAAAATTAAAACTATTATAAAAAATTTTTCCCCATCAATAATTTCTGGTAAAAGAAACTTTGGGAGACTCCTGTTTTCTATTGAAATGGGCTGCCAAGACAGTACTTTAGTCCCTTTCCTGATGTGATTACTTTTATTTGCCCATCTATGACATTTCCTTTTCTGTTATCAAAAATAGAGAATTAGTGTCATAGTGCCTTCTTTTTGGAAATATTCATGGCAAACATATATTTTATTATCTTTATCAGCAAGCTGCTGGACCTGCTATGTGTAGACCAGGGGTGTCAAACTCACATCATCACGTTGTCGTCATGTGACATATCATGATTATTTCCCCCTTTGTTAAAACAGGGGTGAACATGGCCAATGCATGACACATCTAGTCCACTGGCTGCAAGTTTGACACCCCTGGTGTAGACAATGTTTCAATGAAAAGTCCCTATGTTATATTTTTTGCAGTATAACTATGTGTTTATAAAAGGATCTGGTTACAGGATCCTGCTCTTCAATAAACTTAACATAATTGAATATATTGCTTCGAATATTGAATTCAGTAATTTGCTCTGAAATCCATTGAATAGTACAGTATGCCATTAAACTTGATGAATCCTTCAATTATCAAATCCTGAGTTTATTTTTGATGTAATTACTGTCCTTCTTATCTATCCTACCCTGGCAGTGAAAGCCAGGATTATTTGTGCAGTAGCATAGTTTTAGCTTGGTAAGTAATTAAATGTAATTTAAGTATAAAATCGGTAAACTTTCAAAATTCTTTTTTTTTTAAACCCACTGTTTTTCACCTCTTCAGCCTCTTCAGATTGGACCTTTAGATTTCCTATTGCTCTACATTATCAGTTAAAGGGGAAACTAGATTAGATTACAAAATTACTTAAATAGCATCTCTCTGCTGCATGCCTAACCTCTCTTTTACAGTACTAACAGTTCATGCAAATGTATAGGTGAGATAAAAGAACTATAGTAGTTTGAAGAGCTATTCAGATTTCTAAAGCATCTCAAGGTGTACAAGAGTCCAGTAAAAATGAAATCTGTTAATTTCTAACTCCTATTAGATTCTGAGAGTCTAATCCAAAGTCTCCTATCTCCTGTGAACAAATTTCAACAAGATACTGTGAACAAAGATTATCTGAATGCAATGTCCAATAAAATACAGATATTCACAGTTGTTAATTTTTTAAAATACTACTAAGATGTTTTTTGTAAGAAATGCCAAACTGAATTAGATCAAGATCCAAGTAATGTAAGTTTTAAAACTATTATTTTGAAACATCAGGCAATCTGTCTGGTTTCCCTTGGGAGGTATAAACATTGGAGAATCTCCTGAGACTTAACAACATAGCTAGGAACTAATTTTTTTATTATACAAAGCTATGGTATACAAACAGCTGACATTCATAGTCTGATCCTGATTTATACCTTTTTAAAAATTCATATGTAGTGTTCCCTTTTCCAGGTATCTTGTGTATCAAATTTCCTGCTTTACCTTTCTTTCACTAGATGATGGCAGCTGCTCATCTATATTCGTGCTCTGAGAATCTCTTGCCACTAGCAATCTCCTATACACCAATAACTCAGCAAAATCTGAAAAACACCTTTCAAACTGATCCCAGCAACA